AGGGTAATACACCATCATTAATTTTATTAATTTATTTAATAAATTTTATTAATTTATTTATTTAATAAATTTTTTTTAATTTATTTATTTAATAAATTTTTTTATACAGATGTGGACCAGGAACATGGGTTTTAGAAAACAGTTGTGATTTCGTCCGATCCGAATTTTATGGAATTGATATTGCTCCAATGTTTCCAAGCACGATTAAACCGCGAAATGCACATTTTATACAGGCTAATATTCTTGACGGTTTGCCGTTTGATGATAATTATTTTGATTTCGTTCATTTAGGTAATGATTCATTAATAAAATCTAAATTATTACAAAGTTTTATTAATTATTTTTTTTTTTTATCTACAGGATTCTTGTCTGCATGCTTTTCTGAAGAAAATTGGACAACTCAAGTAATTCCAGAATGTATTCGTGTATGTAAACCAAATGGTTGGATTGAATTTTATGAAGGTGATGGTACTGCATTTAATGGAGGTCCATGTTATGTTCGTATCGTGGAATCTTTGAGGCAGGAATTTTCTTCAATGGGTTTAAATCTAAGTGCTGCAATATTCTATAAAGATTGGCTTCTTAAAGAACCAAATCTCGCAAAGGTTCAGGAAGAAGTCAGAAAGCAATCCATTGGAAGTTGTGATAGTCTTGCAATGATCATGGAAGAAAGTCTAAAAATCCTCTTTCAAACTTTGGCTCCACGTCTTGCTAATAATTTGGGAATAAGTTTGAATGAATTTGATAAAATGTTACAGGCTGTTCACGAAGAATACAACAAATATGGAACTTTTATGAATTTTCACAGGGTCTATGCGCAAAAATTATCAATTAACGAACATGCCCGTTAACGCATTATAATTATGCAATTTTTTTTTTTTTTTTTATGATTTACGAAAAAAAATATGGATTTTTAATGTACAAAAATATTTACATCCTTGAGACTGAATTTTATGCTTTGTATAATTACACCAATCCACTTTTTATAATCTAAGTTATTACCTTTTTGTGAAATATGCTTTTTTTTTTTTTTTTTTTTTTACAAATATATCTACAATATACGTATACGTAAACTTTATCATTATTTAAAAATATAATAAATATGTAAAGGCATTATTGTACTCCTGATTTGGAAATCGCGTCCACTCTTAAAGTATCCGCGCACAACGTACGCACATATGTACGTACGTACGTACGTGCTATGTACATAAAGTATCAAAATATCAAGTATCAAAGATCCGTCGATGTTCTGGCACTTATAGATAATAACGACTTTATGAGTTATAATACAGTATGCACAAAACCTGGCCAGGAAAAATTAAAGATCAACGAAACTTACTAAACAGGGTAGTGGTAGTCTATTTGGGCTGTTAGCGGCTTGGATGGCTTGACTTGACTCCTAAAAGCCATGGATCCAGCTTGAGCTATGACCATTGGAGCCGTTGTTTGAGCTATAACCCAAACAGTAATACAGTAATAGTTGGAAACGTAATATTAACCACGAATAATTAAGAGATCTATAGTTTGATTACGATTCAAGCTACAGCTCAATTGGCTTGGACCATTATGCTGCTAGAACTGGTCTCAAATAAGCCGTTAATAGTTCTATAGTCTATACAGTATTTACTAAGCATGTTTCAATTCAGTGTTCGAATTTGGTGTTCTCAGTTATGAGAATATTGTTATGAACTTGTGCATAGTATAAATTTTTTTACTGTTCACTATAAAAATTTTTTTATGAACAATAAAATGTTCTCATCTGCAATACGTATTTTCTAATCTAAGTTAGTTTTTTTTTATAAAACAATATTTTGAGAACACTTATAGCTATTTGTATTGTTCCCATGAGAAAGTATTTGAGTCTGAAATTTCGAATACTGGTTTCAATTCTTCAAACCATTATAAATCCATTATAAATTTTATATATATTTCAAAAAATTAATATATAGTATATATATACATTTTTATTATATTGTATGCTCCAATTTAAATAAATTTTACAATTATAGCTGTAAAAAAAACAAAATTTTAGAAGTCCGATTGGTAAACTTTATTACAAGTTCTGTAAATACTGTAATTTTTAAGTTCTGATGACAACCTTTATTATCTAATATCGGCTTTATTTTTTTGTTTGCTTTATTTGCGATTGCGATGTCTGATAAATATATCCATATTAAGTGAAAACCGGCTGTGGATGACGTCTGTTGCATGCCAACATCGTGTATGGTAATTACTGTATTATAATAGTAAAGTTCCTTTCAAATGTTGTAAGTGAAAACAGAGTTTAGGATTTTTAAGGTTTAGTATTGCTTGCTGTTAATAACGATAATTACATAAACTTCGATATTGTGACTTTGCAGCAGGCATCTATATTAGGATTATGGTATAGCGGTAGGTTTATATCATATATCGATATATCGATCGATCGATCTACCCTAAAATTATATAAAACTAGAAAAACGGGATCAGTTGGGTTCCGGAGCGGCGCTAATTATTTGCAAGATATTAATAAAAATTCTTATAGCGTAAGCGTATAACATTTATACACTTATCTTTATATATCTGTCAATGAAAGCTAAAGGTTTTAACACTGTAAAATCGGTTCTTAGATGCACTTTGACCACTTTAGATAATGTAATTATATAATTTACATAAAAAAATTGATCTCACTTATTAAATCACAAAAATTTAAGTAGTTTACATTTCAAATCAGCTTATAGGACGCTACATAAAACATTTTAATTTAAAAAAGTACACATAAAACTTCTAAAACTGATTTGTCCAGATTCTGAGAATAAATTAAATTTAAATGTCCATATTAAATGCGAAATTAATTAAAAATCGGCTATAAGTCACTTTTCTTCAAGTATTCGTTTTTGTATCCTAATTTCAATACTGATCCATTGAATGATTGGGAATTTTTTTGCTTATGCTCTTATCCTACACCCGGAACCCATCGCTATTGTCTGGACTTAAGTTCCTCCGCTCTGCTCCGGAAATAAATTCCGTCCCTGCTTACAACATATATTAATGTTCGGTATAAAATTACTAATTTCTATTCGAGTTACTATTGATGATAATTTTGATACTTGTTTGCTCTACTCTCCCAATATAATAGTAACGAATGGTGGCTGTTTTATTTATACTATTTAAGCAATTTAAGGAGTTATTATTTCAGAAATTATACTATTATGTGATAGTGGAATATTATGTTGTTTCTATGAACTACCCGTTTTGGTAAGTGTAAAATTATTTTGGAAGAAAAACATTTTGATTACAGGATTACGTATTAACGTTAACGTTAATTCAAAATTATTAAATTACGGACGTTTCATTTGTGTAACCGATTTTTTTTATTTTTTTTATCAGTCGATTTTATCATAACGATAAGATTAACGATAAGATCTGTATGTAAGCAATGCTGTTCGATGCTTGCTATATTTTTCTGTCATTTCATCAAATGCATTTCATCAAATGAGTGTTGCATAGTGAAAACCTGTTACGGACCATAGAAATCATTAAGTCAATTTATTTGTCGCTGGCGGTGACGGTTGTGAACATCAATTTATATCCCATCAAAGCACACAGGTATTTGTAAACGTCTAGATACACTTGTTAGCAGTTTATAGTAAAAAGATTAAACAAATGAATATTAGATTAAGCCTTCTGCTCTTGTAAACCAATTATAGAATTATAAATAACTTTCGAAATTATCAATACGAATGACCTTTATTTATTTTGGGGTGAAAAGATCTTTAATTATGAAACGGGTGTATAGTCGCGAAATAGTATATTCCTACGCGTCATGTTATCCGCCCGCGCATTATTTCGAAATAAAAGTCAAAAACTTACATATATAAATTCTTTTTTACGTTAATTGGTTATCGGTCTATAGATTTTTCTGATGAAGAATCTGAACGGATAATTATAACAATGAAAAAAAAAAAAAAAAAGACATCACAATACACCAAGTTTTGCAACGACAAATCTGAATAATTGGGTTTAATACAAAAATCAATCTGAGAATTATCATCTTCATAGAAATATCCATAATTTTATGATGATTCAACTAATCGCACCGTCCATTGCAAATCGATATGTCGCTTCTGTCTTATATTTTTTAAGCAATTTATCTAATTCATAATCAAACTCATCTTTATCTTTCCAGGGTACCCAAGTATTAAACGTTAATACCGAATCACCAACTGACCAAAATCCGTTAGTGTTTTCTTTAACCTGGAATTTTAAATCATTTAATCAAGTTAATGTTAACATAATTTGTCTATTAATTAACACTATGTTAATTACAAAAACATATAAGATCAATTATTATAATCATATACTCAAAAGTGTTGAAATCATTTATTTTCTATTAATACCTGAATAGTTGATGAATTTGAACATTCTTCACTCCAGGGTTTCTCTTCAATCATGTTCGTATAGTCCGTATATTTTATAGGTTTCTGATTTGAATTTTTGGCATACCACGATGTTGTATAATTCTGCTATAACAAGAGTTCTGGTTTTGAATCAACTATTAGGATGTTGATGAGGTTGATGAGAAGGAAATGAAATAGTTACCGGTTCATTAGCATCAATATAATTTTCTTTTAAACGACTTTTATCGTTCATTTCATTGTAATGATTAATTTCGTTGTTATTTGTATCCTTGAAAATTGGAATGGACTTTGTACTTGATTCTTGACCAAAAGAATTCAGATTATTTTGATTATTTTGTAAATCTGGATTATTATTTTGCAGTTGCTTGCAAATAAAGATAATAAATTAATATTTGTGAATACGTTATAACAACATGTATGAAAATAAGTGAATAAGAGTAATCACGTTATTTGGGTTATGTGCACTATCAGTCTCAGCATGTTCAAAATTCATGTTCAAATTATTCCACTCTTTATATCCTTCAGCGCAAAAATAATCTGTTGATTTGCCACAATCACCATTAAGCTTTTGATCTTGATAAAAATTGAAATTTCCATTGTCACACAAGGAAATTATACTATTTATGTCAATGTTTTCGTTTTCTACAACTTTAAGAATTTTCTCGTATAAAGGTATCATTACATCTAAAATCAAACGTTCATTATTTGCATTATTTGCATTATTTGTATTATTTGCATTATTTGCATTATTTGTATTATTTGTATTATTTGCATTATTTGCATTATTTGTATTATTTGCATCATTTGCATCATTTGCATTATTTGCATCATTTGCATCATTTGCATCATTTGCATCATTTGCATTATTTGCATCATTCGCCGTAGGTTTTTCATTGCCCTTTTTTTTAATATTACAAGAGGTTGGTTAATAAAGACTCATGTTTTGGAGAAAGATTTATTCAACTTTAATTTTTACCTCATTTTCAATGTTACTCATTTCGATATTCTCTGACCAGAAATCTTTATCAATATTCATATCATCAGCTTTCAGTTCATTACTGTTCAAATAGAACTTTTTATCAACATATTTAACTCTGTCCTCTTCATCTTTTGTTTCAATACTGCTTCTGATGATT